GTGGGGATGGGGAAAGGGGAGAGCAGAGAGAGAGAGAGAAGTAGGGAGGAGGGTGGCGGAAAGGAAGAGCAGAGAGAGGGAAGGAGGGAGGGGGGTGAGGGTCTAAGTGTGCGAGAGATCTTGTACTCTCAATGAATCTCCAACAATAAAAAAAAGAGGACAAAAGGTGGAAGATGATGGAATCTTCTCACTTTGCCTGACTGTGGTAGGGAAACATCAGCCTTCTCCAGCCTTTGTGCCGGGATTTGTAACATCAGCACTCCCGGTTCTCAGGCCTCTGGACTCAGACTAGAATTGACGTTAGCAGCTTTCCAGAGAGAAGATGGTGGGTCTTCTCAAGCTCACTCATCTTGTGAGCCAATCAATCCCTTATAAGAAACCAGACGATGCATATCTCCTGCATACAAACTTAAGATTATGAACTCATCCTAGGAAAAGTAGTACAAACTTCATTGCTGAATGTTACTCTGGCCACCCTTGAGGTACTCCCCTCGGGAAGCTATGCACTAACCCTAGCACCTAGTCCATCCTCCAGGCAATTTTGGAACTCTTCTGGAATGGCCATCAGAACTCTTGTTATACAGTATCTGACTCATCCTAGAAAAAGTGCTTGGAAGTGTAGGCTAGGCACTGGCATCAGTGCATAGCTTTCCAGGAGGAGAACGTCAAAGGTGACTGTAGTAATATTCAATAGTGAGGTATGTACAACTTATTCTAGGATGAGTTTGTGAACTCAATTTATCTCACCGTGTATATATGTCTCCTCTTGGAGAACCCTGACTAACACAGAGGCCATCAGGCTACATCCCCTTCCCCGAAAGCTGCCTCTCGCAGTCCTTGTCTACTGTTCTGACTTCCAGTGGCTGACACCTCCTTTTGCATGAACAGCAGTCTTCCAGCTAGTCAGGTGGCTGCCTCCTACTTACCCTGCAGCAGCAGCCTAAATGTCACCTCCTCTGGGAGGCCTTCTGAGATTGCTGTGCCTACACAGGCTGTTTCTGTGTTACTCTCTCTTTCTACTCCTACATCCATCACGTGATTTTATATTTTCTTACTAATGCGAATTTGTTTGCTTGTTGACCACCTGACACTTGCCATAATCTCCTGGAGGGTCAGAGCCTTGCTCATCCTGCTCACCACCGCCTGGCACGCAGTAGGTGTTTAACACCTATTTTATGAATGAATACATGAACGACCCAGCGTAGTTTTCCCGCCACTCGTGACACAATCAACAGTGAGCCTTGGGGTGAGACTCCACTCACAAAGAAATTACGTCTTGCTTTGAGGAAAGTCAATACAGGATTGTCTGAGAAGGAGGAGGGCTTCCTTCCTCCCCCAGCGGATATGTGGTAACAAGTGTGGAGACATTTTTAATTGTCATAACAGGGGAGGGAGGTGCTGCTGGCATCCAGCCACGTAGAGGCCTGGGAGGCTGCTCACCTATCCTACAATGCATAGGACATTCCCCCAGCGGGGAATTATCTGTCCTCAAATGGCAGGAGTGCCAAGGTAGGTAGAGAAACCCTGCGTGAGAACATTCATATTTACCATATGGCAATTCCCAGTTTCCCAAACCCCCAAGTCCAACCGAGGATGCCGACCACAAGTTAGCATTCTCTGGTGATGATACAAACAGTTCATTTTTTTTATTGGCTTCAGGCAGAGGATATAGTCATCATTATTCAATGATACTACAACTATAAAGAATCCCAGGGACGGTCTGAGTGGACCCAATAAAATACACGGTAGACATTTAACAGTCTCTGATAGGAACTTGTCATTTGCTTTTCCCAAAGGAAGAATGCGGAAAAATTCCTCTTGCCTGCATGTTCAGACCGTTCGTTATCTACCAAGATGAAAAATCGAAGCTAATAAAGTCCATAAATGAGGCAGCGATTATTCACATTACTGAGTGATTCTTCTTTTTCAGAAGGATTCTCTGCCAGTTTCCTTTAAACACTTGGCTCCTCTCGTGCATTCAGAATCTAGCTGGGTTTACAAAAGCATTCATTTATGGGTGCATTCCAGGCCCACTGCCATTGTGAAAAGTTAACCGCACCTTTCATGAGAAGCACATCCGCCCTGCCTCCCAAAGATAATTCTCCTGTTTCTTGGTTTTCTCTTTAAAGGGTGGTCTCTTTGGAGGGCGAGATGCATGTCTCGTGAATGTTTGGTTCTGCTTCCCAGCACCCCAAACACTTCAGGAGATCAATAAATATTTATTAATGCTGATGAGGTGAGCAGAACCAGAGGTGCTTCCTTGCTTTCTTGTCATGTGCTGTATGGGACAGACTTTTTTAGTAGCACCTGCAAAGCTGAGACCAAGAAATTCCTTTCTTCAAACTCTTGGCCTCTCCCAGGGACTAGAATGCTTTGGGGGGACCCGAAGACCACCCTTCTCCAATTTAGCCCTTGCCAATCTCCTCCAAACATTCTGCAGGCATAATTCTCAACCAGGCATTATTTGCAGACTCTATCTTAGCTGCAGGGGTAGGGGGCTTAGCCACAGCCCCTGAAAGCATGCTCTGTATTATGTGAGATGCTTTTACAAGATAGGATTAAGCCTATAGTTAATGTCTCAATATCACAGTGAAAAACTCAGACTAGGAAAGGTTTTCATTTGCCTCCCCTAAGAGGCGTGATAGAGCAATAACCCCGAAAGTCTGGACCCCTGGATGGCAGCATCCTCATTATCTGGGCACTTTTTTGAAATGCACTTTCTCTGGGCTCCATGGCAGACAGAGTGAACCAGGATCTCAGAGGTGGGGCCTAGCCAACTGTGTTTTCATAAGCTTTTCAGGTGACTCCAATGCACACTGAAATTTGACAATGACTATGCTAGAGGCTCAACTTTTTCTTGTTAAATGGACAGATCACCTACCGCTGATCTAATACTATTCATAATGTCTTATAGAAGATATGAGTAAACTTTGTAACTCCTGAAGAAACTTTAGGGACCCAAGTCCTGTGGTAGCCCCAGGTTTTTCAGCCCGATAGGTAGGCAGAAAACCATATGAAAGAGGCAGCAAGTCCATAACTCAGAGGGAAATGCAATCCTTCCCAGGCCGCCAGGAGTAAGGCTTTCCCAGCATGCTTTGCACAAGATGGCCACCCTCCTCCCTCGACTTGGTTTTCCAGGGCAAACCAAGGAGGCCAAGGAGAGACAGGAAGGAGAACTGGGATGAGGCCGAAATTCCTGAAAAGGACCCTCAGGAGCTTGGTGGTTTGCCACCTGGGGGTGGCCACATTCACTAAACAATAGGTTAGTAGCATGCTCCTGGGCAGTACCTGGGCTTCCTGGAGGAAGGAAGGCCCTTGTCCCCCCTCTCCACCCTGCCCAGGACTCACACTTCTCACCCTTTTCTCTTTTTCTTCACTAACCCAGCTGGTCCCTTCACTTACTACTCTCACCCCTGACCCCACTTCCCCTGATGCCTTGGTCTTCTCTAGTTCCCAAGGGTAGAAAAACACTTGCTCTCTGTGAAAGTAGCTAAGTCCTTCCATCTGGCATTTTGGTTGGTTGTTTCCCTACTTTAGTCCAATTTTCTTTGTAGGTGATGCCAAGGCCCCTCAGGCATGTGTTAGGAGGGTGAGAACGCACCCACGGCGCAAAGATTCATGCTTTGGATATAAGCCCAACACGTGGTGATAGAACCAGCTGTTTCTGCACCAACTCATTTAACTATTGCATTGATACTGAGTTCATCCAAGCACCATCATGAAAACACGAGTCACCATGACAACGGTTTGCTTCTTTGAGACTGAGACGGGATAAAGAAAGGGCCTTCAAAGAGGATGGCACGGAAGCCTGGCCTGCTGGATAAGGACATCCAGAGGGGCCATGGGAACTCGAGGGGAACCCTGTGACTCAATGGATCAAGCATGTCCTCTGTGCAATACAGTCTCCACATTTGGACACAGGGTGAGGATCGCACATCTCTAATAACCCCAAGTGTTAGCAAAATCAACAGTTAGATCAGCACTCAGAAATCCTTGCCAATAAAAGGAAGAAAATGAGGGTGTGAGGTAGCCTAGATAATCAATGACCAATACAGAAGGGCGCAGGTCCCTGAAGATGCACAGAACCAATGAAAGGGTTATACAAACAATTTCAAACGGAGGGAAAGAGGATATTCACACCTTGACCTTGCCTCTGTGCCTGTCTCTGTCTTCTCCCTCAGAGAGGGACCCTCTTCCACCTCTCTGGAAGTGCACTAAGCTTTCTCTTTACTTAAATGACCTTTCTCTTTGTTATAGTAAAGCCTGTACAAATTTCCTTTTGCTTTCTTTAGTTTTTTTTTTTTCTTGTCCATTATACAGTTTATTCTTTTTTTTTTTTTTTTGCAGTTTTTGGCTAGGGCTGGGCTTGAACCTGTCACCCCCCGGTATCTGGGGCTGGCGTCCTACTCCTTAAGCCACAGGCTCCGCCCTATACAGTTTATTCTTTTCTTTCAGGTTTGCCATTTGCTTTCTAGTTTTTATGGGATGTTTTAAACGGATATTTTAGATACTTAGCAGTTGAATAGAAAGTTGCAACACAATAAGGAATTCATTAGGCGCATACAGTAAAAGGTATTAACATTTTCAGTTTCACCAGGCAACCCGGTTTCGTTTTAAACTACACGCATCCTGGCCCCATTGTGCTTCAGAAGTTTTCTAGAGGATGAGATTTACACACACCTCTAATCTTGCGACATGCTAAACAGTGACACACTTCATTACTATCGTGTGTGTGTGTGTGTGTGTATCTTATGGTAAGACATCTATAAGATACTCTTAGTTGTTTTGAAATGTACCCTTGCACTGTGCACATTAGATGAGATCCCACCAAATACCGTTTCTCCACTTGCCCCCCCCTTCTCTCTCCTCTCCCTTCCTTCTTTCTGGACTATATTTGAGTTTTATCATTCCTACTTTTGATTCATGATGCCCAGGCTGCTCTTGTTTTGTTTTCAGTTTTGATTCACTTTTTTTTTTCTTTTGTCCAGTCCAAAAAAAAAAAAAAAATGGAATGCTTCATGAATTTGCATGTCATCCTCATGCAGGGACATTGCTAATCTCTGTATCTTTACAATTTCAGTATAGGTGGCGCCAAAGCAAGCACTCTACTTGATTTCACCTTCAAACTTGCTAGTTCTTCCAAGGAATGGAACCAGGTCAGCTGGGTTCAGGGAACTGGACCCTAGATGCTAATAGGCTTACAGGCTTTTAGCTGGAACGAGTATCTGAAAGCAAAGAGTCTCAGATTCCCCTGCAGGTTCTAGGAGATGTAGACTGACTCTGTGTTCCTGGCACCAGGGCTGTGATCTGATTTATTGATTCCCGTGAGGTCCTTGCCCCGCTTTCCTCTTTGCTAAATCTTGTCCCCAGGGGATGTCCTATGTCTTTGTTACACCCTGTTGACCTTAAAGGGAAATCCAACATTCAGAATCCATCATGACCTTGAAGAGGCCAGGTCGGTCCATTCTGCCCTTGTCTCCTTTCCTTGTTCCCTTCTAAATGTCTCTCTTCTCCGTCACCATCCTCCTTACGGAGAAACCATGTACAAATCTCGGCTGGTATATTTTAAGGTTCCTTCTTGGAGGCTGAATAGCTTCAGCTATGTAGGTCTTGCCCATTGCAGAGCCTGTATTTTAGACAATAGGCTCCACACACATTCTTTAAGGTAAATACAATCCTGCAAGCACTTGGATTGTGTAAAAGTTAATGGCCTGGTGTTGTGTGAGGAAATTAAAGGGCAAACAATGCATTTTTGACATTTCTGCCACCCAGGTAGCAGTGGCAGCTTTGCTATCCCATGTGCAAAGCAAAGAATCTTTCTCCTCAGAAGAAACGTTCAGATTGAGGATTTCTTATTGGGCATTTAGAAAGGTGTCTCCATCTGATTCTTTCCTAGGGCATGCTGCAGAAATACATCTTGGCCATGATGCCTTCCCTGAGCTGATGAAGGTCAATGCTGTTTATTCAGCTCCCAGGAAGCTTGGAGCTCATGGTTAGCCACTGTCCAAAATGGGGGCCAGAGGTAAGACGGGGACCAGACATGGACCCGACTACCCAGGCTCTGTTAACGCGCTTGGAGAGAATAAAACAAGCCAGTATTTCTCCGCTTGGCAACTCCCGAAACCCCACTGGTGATAAATTCTCCATTGGGTAAAGGAATTGTGAATTTAATGAGTTGCTTTTGACACTACACAAATCTAATTTCTGGAAGTTAAAGCAATGCCTCCCCTTTCTTTCATTGGGCTGCAAAGAACTCCAGGAAGCCAACAGCCTGAGGCAGGATTGAGCCCGAGGCCTGGCATCAAGGAAGTATCACAAAGTATCCCCATCTCTGCGTCCAACTTCTGGGCTGTTAAGAAAGGCAGGTTCCCAGACGCTGGATGGGATGACCAGGGTCCACTAATGGCAGAAATTCTGAAAGCTCACTTGCCAAGGCATAGAAGCAACCCAAATGCCCATCAACCCGGGAATGGATTAACAAACTGTGGTATGCATGTACCATACAGTACTATTCAGCCATCAGAAAAGATGAAGACTTTACATCCTTCGTATTTACCTGGATGGAGTTGAAACACATTCTTCTTAGTAAAATACCTCAAGAATGGTAAAAAAAAAAAAAAAAAAAAAGTATCCAATATACTCAATACTGATATGAAACCAATATATAAACAACCACATGCTCATACAAAAGAAAAAACACAATTATGGTCTAGCAGGGGTGGGGGTGTGGAGGACAGAGACAGTGGATGGTGGGATCTCACCTCATATGCACAATGGGAGGGTGTTCAGCACGCCCCCGGGGTGAAGGGCCCAACTACAACTTGAACTTTGCCTTAGGAATGGAAATGACACAACCTAAAGATTGGTACCCTCGTATTTATCTGAAAGTAAAAACGAATTGTGAACGCTGATGGGATGGTTGGAAAAACAGAGACTTAGAAGCTCTGTTGACGATCCCTTCATGGCAGAGCCTAATGGATGGACCCTACATAAAATTCTCACAACAAAATGCAAAATGAACTTCTGGGCAAAATGCACTTCTAAGGCAAACAGCTGCTTTCCACAGAACAATTGCTTGGAAACTAGGATCCAGCGGTAAGGGATGCGTCCCGTCGACAAACAGGTCCACGCTGGGGCCACTGCAGCGTTACAGAGCCACACAGAGGTGCAAGGAGGTGGCTGCAAAGAAGTGACGTTTGCTCCTGCCCCATCTTCCTTCCTTGGGCTGTACTCTCACGGCAGTCGGCAAGGACGCCCTGACCTCCCTTTTGTTCGAAGTATCCTTCTAGACACTGTTATACGTCCATCCACCTATACAGACACGGAGAAAATCCGCCCCGTAAGTCTTCCTGGCATTTCTGTTATTTTAAGCCACCCAGTTTGTGGTATATTGTTATAGCAGCCCCAGGGAATGAAGACACATCCTTTAAACAAAAGAAAAGCAGGGGTTGTCTTTTGCAGGCGAGGAGGAGATCCAAGTTGAACCGAGATCCGCGCTTAAAACTCCAAGTTTTTCCCACTCCCACTTTCTCCTTTTGGGCCTCTCACGCTTTTACGCTCATGGCCTGGTTTGTTCTGAAAGCCGTCAGGAGGTCGAGATTCACATGCAATCAAACTGAAGAGTCTCCAACAAGCGGAGAAAAAGCTGCCCGTAGGGGTAACGTTAAAAATGGAGGGGATACAGGCATAGGTAGGGCCCTGAGACCCCTCCAAGTCCCACAACACAGCTGGACAGCATAGGGCTCAGCTCTTGATCAGATTACACGGCAGCCAAGAACAGCAGCGGGGAGTGATGTTGACATCGTTACAGCTTCAGCCCAGGCTCTATAGATCTGTTGCCCAGAGAGAAGTGACACGGTGCCCAGTAGGCTGGACCATTTCCAAAACAGCTATGATACTTTCCTGAAAGTCTTCCAAGTTTCTTATATACAGAGGAAGGCTGAACATTTAATTGTTCAAGAGCTTTGTTACCCCCTGGTACGACCTGAGCTGGTCACCCCTGATGGCCAACAGCCGCAATGGAGTTGTAGCTACAGCATTTTATTTATTTTTCACTCGTACATCAGAGAGCTCCATAACGATCAACCCAAAATGCACCGTGCTCAATGGTCAGACCATCTCCACAGACGTCCACGAACCTCTTCTCTCTAACTTTCCACCGTGAGGAAGGTGGTTTGGATCCTTCCTTTGTAAATGGAACAGCTGCAAGGGACCAGCGGCCAGCTTTCATGAACAGATGTGTATTTCTGGAGAAATCGATTTTCCCTTTTATTGTGATGTCACCAAATTTGGTGTATTTCCAAACCATTTGCATTTTAAGCTATGACTCACGTGTGAACCCACAATAATAACTGCGGCCTCCAGGTAGGGAAATTTATCTCAGCAACAAGATTTGCTAGGCAAGGCAAAAGTTTTAGTCATTATTATGAGTAATACGCCGTAAGAGGAATATCTGCACTTTACAACCTCACCGCTGTCCTAGCCCCTTCTGCGAGCCCACTGGAGGAAGTTCTTTTGTTTTGAGTTGGTCTAGAAAATCATGTGTTTCAACCCAGTGGTTCTTGATGGAGGTAATTTTGCTTCTTAAGGGATATTTGGTCATGTCAGGAGACATTTGTGACTGCTCTGTTTGGGTAGGGGGGGAGTTCCTGGCATTGATGGAGTAGAAGCCAGGGATACTGCTAAACATTTTCTGGTGAACAGGATACCCACCCACCCACCCCTGGAATTATCCTGTCCCCAAAATCAGCGGCACCGAGGATGTAAAACCTTGATGTCATGAGATGACTTGTGTCCCCCCTCCCAAAGATATGTTGAACTCTTTCTTTTTTAGGATATAAAAGTATAAGTTTATTTTTAGGGAGAGGAAAGGGGAGGTGAAAAAGAAAGAAAGAGAGAGCAGAGGGCAAGATGTAAGAGAGAGGAAGACTGGGGAGGGGGGCAAAGAGAGAGAAAAAAAGAGCGAGAGAACAGCATAGCCTCCCAAAGGGAGGAAGGAAGAATGCCCGCTCGGTACATTGAACGCTTTACCCCCAGGATCTCAGAATATGATATTATTTGGAAATAGAATTGTTGCAGATGTAATTAGTGAAGAGGAGGTGATCCCAGAGCAGCGTGGGGCCCTAATTCAACCGTACTGATGACCTTGTAGAGAGAGGAAAGATGACGAGAAGACAGACAGGCAAGGAGGAAGCCAGGTGAAGACGGAGGCGGAGGTTGGAGTCAGGCGGTCACACGCTGAGGAGGACCTGGAGCCCCCAGAGGCCGGGAGAGGCAGGGAGAATTCTTCCCTGGAACCTTCAGGGCAATCACAACCCTGGCAACAACTTGACTTTGGGCCCCTACCCACCCCAGAAATCATAAGGGAATAGATTTCTTTTCTTTTAAGCCACCTAGTTTGTGATATGTTGTTATGGCAGCCGTAGGAAATGGACACATATCCTTTAAATGAAATGAAGCCTTCTTTTTCTTAGAATGCTAATCATCCTAGTTTACTAGGAAAATATGCCGTTTTCTCTGTATGCATCCGTTCTCCACACATTATTATGCTACATGACTCTCTTAGGCAGACACCCTCGCTCCGTATTAGAGGTGAATAATAGTAATGGTTACTGTTCGTTCAGAAGTTTCTTGCTCCAGCCCCCACACGATGTGCTTCGCAAGCACAATCTCATTGGATTATTGCAGAGGCTCTGACATGAGGGCGGCTGTTAGAATTACCTCTGTTTTGCAGTGGAGGAAACTGAGGCATGATCGGAGCTGTCCATTTCCCCCGGTCCCACAGGTGGCAGGTGGAGGGAGTTGGAAACCAGTGAGTCTGGCTTCAGAGAGCCTTTTTCTTAACCATGTGCTTTTCAGCTCTGAAGCCGAGAGGGCTGAAGGTGCCTGCAACCAGTTAGCGCCAAGGGCGTGACCTTGTCTAGCCAGATTCCCAGGCCCTGTCAACAACACATCTCCCATGAGGAAGGTCCCAACAGGAGGCAGTGGCTGAACCACATTGCACAAGAAATGAATTCTGAGACAAAATAAGAGTGGAAAACACCACCTATGATAGTTCCCTCTTCGGGATTCAGAAATGTCATCAGTAAAGCCTCGGATAAGGCG